ATGTGAAGCAACTCTTTAAGAGAGAAAAAGATATATATATATGAAACAAAGTACCTCTTTATTTTAAATAATTTTAAAAAAGTTAAAAAGGAGCACTTTGCTGTTTCCCTTGGGGAAGTTTTGTAGCTGGTAACTTCTACTGGCTCCTGTCATCCCAAAGGGTATGGTGATGTTTGAAAATCAGCTATTAAACTCATGGTCAGTGCATCTACTAATCTAGGGTGCCTCCATGAAAATCTTTGAACTCCATAACCTGAGCTCACCATACCATGCACTGACAGTGGATAAATATTTGGAGATTATACTAATAGCCCAGAAAATGAAACATGTTCAAGTTTTTGCATACTAAATTAGCTACAAGAAAACGCAGCAATATGTCTAAATGAAAATACCATTGATGTGTGAATGATTGTTTGGATCATTGTGCTCAAACAGCAGTCTTCAATAACTCAATGTCAAATTGGGGTTTGGTGTCAAGGAGCATTCCCCAGGGGTTCTCCTGGTCTGATTTTGTTCAATATCTTCATTAATAATTTGGAAGATGGAATTGAATGTATACCTTGTAAATCTGCAGCAGACATGATTGGGATTCAAAATGACTTTAATCAATTGGAAAAATGGTCCTAAAAAAAAGATGAAATTCAATGAGGCAAGTGCAAAGTACTGTGCTGAAGGCAAAATAATCAAATGTAAAATACAACATCAGGCTAGAATGCAGTATAAAGATCTACGGGTTATAGTGGCCAGTACAGCATTAGCCATAGAGTGTCTTACGCAAGCAATGGGAAGTGATTCTTTCACTTTTTTTAGCATTGCCAAAGCCTCATGTATAGTACTGAATCCAGGCTTAGCCATCCAATTTCAAGAAAGTGGTTGAGCTCTATAAAATATGTGAGGAAAGGATAGAAGAGCTGGGATTATCTAATCAAGAGAAAATAGGATTGAGGCAGGATTTGATAACAGCTTTCAGTTACTTAAATGGTTGCATAAAGAGACAATTTATTGTTGTCTGTGTCAGCAGGGAACAGGACAAGAAGTAACTTCCTTAAATTTCAACAAGAGAAATTTACATTAGGTAGGTGGAGAAACTGTCTCACTCTGAGGATCGTTAAGGACTGGAACAGGTTTCCTAGAGAGGTTGTGGAGTCTCAGGCTTTGTAAGTTTTAAGTGCTGATTAGATAAATAAAACATAGTCCTGTTAGAGCAGAAGATTGGAGTAGATGATCTCTTGAGGTTCCTTCCAGTTATATTTTTTCATGTTTCTATGACATCCTTTGACCTCACCCGAGGACAGCACTCACAGAAGCAGTGAGACTGCTCTCCCTGTTTAATAGAGGCAAATATACCACACTTTATTTTAACACAGCCCCTCCAAAATATTCTGTTCCTGCATTATAGACTGAAACCATCGTGATTTGGATGAGCTGTGAGAATGCCATTCTTCTAGGCTCACTATTCAGTTAAAAATTAAATTCACTGGTGATGCATTACAGATATTTCCATTACTTAAAGCATGGGTTCCTGTTGTACTCCCATGATGTTCACCTTAATGGCTAAAAAAAACCTGACAGAAGTTTCAGGAATTCCATAATTCATAACAATTCTGAATTTTCCCTTGGGCACAAGCACTTGTTCATTATCTCATCATCTGTATTTCTAAGCTCCATGACATTTGCACAGGTCTTTGGCTGTACAGAATAGTTTAAAGGCAGAGATCAACAGCCAACCAGTGGCAGCACAGAGCACCACATCATGTTTGGTGTGAGACTACTACAATCCCTGAGAACTGAACAGAGATATACTTACATTGACTTCACTCCAGATCAAGCATCAGGTTTCCCTTATGAAAATAAGGGTAAAAACTGGTGTTTCATTATCAGACCATCCAGTTCTTTTAAGATGATGAACTCACTGCCTGGCTGATGGCTTCATGGATACATAGAGAAAATGAAATTAAAATGTACAGACAAACCCTATGCACTCACCCACCCCAAAACAACCAAACGCATACCCACCCCAAGACTCCCAGTGATTAGAATAATCAACAAAATCAGTAGTCAATTCAGACAGTGCTTTGTAAAGCTTTATTGCAAGATGTGTTTACATAATGCTGTAGAGGTGAGCTTTGTAACTACTTATATCAAGAAATTTTGGACACAGGTCTGTGGTTGGTTTTCCATGTTGACCCTGCATGGCACACACACACACACACACACACACACACACACACACACACACACACACACACACACACAAAAGAAAGACTGTATTTTTCTAGATAGTGAGATGGGGAAGAAATTGGAGGGCCAGAAGGAGGGTTTGTTAATGAAGGTTATACTTAATGTAGTGACAAAGCCTCCTAAGGATGGGCACAAATTGTAAGTGTGCTTGTGTGTAGTAATTTTTTAAACAGGAATTCAAGTTCTTTATGTAGTAAAACTGAGAAATAAAGAGCAGGTTTGTAGACAATTAAATTTATCATAAACAAAACATCTTTATCTAAAATGAGAAAAAATGACAACAACAAAAGAACCCCCAAACAGAGGAGGACCTGTAGATAATATTTTTGACCATGCGTGGCTTTTTTTAAATTACAATTCACAGAATAACACTGCCGAAAAGCCTATTTTACACTATGCTACACACAACACAAAAAAAATGAGTAGTAACATTTACACAATTTTACAGTATTTGTCCTTCACCTAAGACACATGTCCTTTTCTACTTTACATTTTTTTTACAATTCCCAGCTCACAAAAAATAAGAAGACATATAAGCAAAGACAGTCTTTAAAAGGGAGAAATGCAGCATATGCTACAAATAGACTTTTCTTTCAAAGGAGCTTCTGGGTTAGATAAAGGTTAGACACAGTATACCTCTATTTGCCACTCAGTGTGAAACTATAGAGTAAGAAGTGTACAGAAATATTTTAAAACAAATTATTTTTTTGCAGATACATAAAACTATAAGACCCTGCCAAAGCTCCTTTGAAGGGCTTGCTCTTTGAACTATTAAACTGCTTGTCAGAAACCTCTTTCCATTGCATCTAAATACCAATTCAATCACAGGTTGCACCAAGCACGAAAAGAAAACAGGCTCTTATATGGATTTATTTGTTTTCAAATTAGTTTGAATGTTTCCTAAAAAAATCTCTTTGTTAGGAAACTACTGCAGGTTTTCTTCCTTACCCCCGCCCCACCCTCTGTGTCCCTGGCAGTTTTCCTTCTACAGAAAATTCAATATTCATAGCCCTTGCAGTTTAGAGAATACTTCTTGACTCCAGATCCTGGAAGTCAGAATAATCTGAATGTTAAGCAAGGTTAGGATCAATCCTTGTCTATCCACCTACCATTCACCTTAAAGATATCAGTGGGAGCTGGGGGTATGTGTAAGACATCAGGAACTGCCCTTTGGAGTGCTGCTTCTTACCATGCTTTCTTAGTCCCATTACCAAAGAGTCTACAATTTAAAACCAGAACAAAAAAAAGGGGTTCTAAATGATGGACTAATATATTGGTAAATCTTGGACTTCTAAACCAAAAGCCACTTTGAAGTTAAAGGAATGTCTACATGTATAGGGATGGGGGACATAAAATTGGTAAACTGCTATCTTCTCTCATCCCAATTGCCCAGCCTAAGCTAATTTTAATCGTGCCTGACACTTTGCCAAGTGACTCATCTTCCTGCCCGATTTCCAAATTCACATTAATAGGATGTTCTAAAGGATTTGGATATGCAGGTTCATTGAGACAGACTGGATTTAATGACCCGGAAGGGATATCAGTGTGGTATAGCTCCCACAAGCAGCACTTTCTGACTCTCTGTGTTGTTGCTTTCCTCCCTCTGTATTTATAAATTCTTGGGGTAAATTTACAGTATGGCATCCTGCGAGCTGAAGGCTCAACCCTGCCAAGTGTCAGATGCTTTGAATAGGAGGAGAAGGGCACCTTGCAGAAAGTCCTCCCTGTCAGGCCAGGACTCAGACTCTGAGCTCCTGCTAGCCATAACATGGACTCTGATGTATACTTAGCCACAGTGCCATACTCAACACCTCCTGTTTATCACTATTTACCACAGTTTTTTTTCCAAAAATATAAAATAAAGTTGAACCATGTAGCTTTTTAAAAAAGGGGGAAAAAAAATCACTAGCTTCCAGCTTTTGCCAATGCACAGTCCAATAGAAAGTGCAAAGATTTAAAATAAGGAGTTCAAATGAAAAAAAGTGCTTTTAATTCTTTTTTCAATACCTGTCAGAATAAAATAGACACCTTTGCAGAAGGCTGGGCTACAAATCGTTGATTTTACTAGGGCAGAGTTTATAAAAAAACCCCTGCAGGTAGAAATCATTGGGGAAATGCACTGAGTGCCAAAACACTTGGAATTTGTGATTCTGGTGAACAGAGTTCCAAAGAGATGATGAATGAAAAACATTTGTTTTTTCATCCAGGGATCTTTTGTGAGCTGTTTGTATGTAGTCCACAGTTAAGGATCAGAGAATAGAAAAGGAGATTGGGATAATCCTCCTTTTGGCAGTAATTTGAAATGCTGAAGTTCATAGCAGCATTAAAAATGAGGATGGCATTATGCTGGTATGCAAGTGTCCCAATTACAGACAGCAGTGGTTCCTGAAATGACCACCACCAGTGATCCTGGGAGCTTACTGGAGATTTTAAACTCTTGGGGTAAGATCCTCAGCTGACAGAAACTGGCTTATGCCTTACTACGAAAAGCTCAGTACAGAAGACTGTTATGGGTGGACATATTTGGAAACAGTGCTCATGGGATCCAAAGAGGTAGTATATTACTAACTCAGTTCCCCCCATGTATCTTTATACTTATCACTAGAACTTTACACATAAAGCTTAAATATCTGTTGGACACTAATAAAGACCTATTTTGATGAAGGACTGACCCTGAATCCATATGCACTATGACAAGATTATATGCAGACAAATCCAAAATTTAGCCAACTCTTCCCCATCAAACTAGAACCTCCAGATTAGATAAAGGGAAACAAATTTCATTTTCAAAAGCATTAAATACTACTTCAAGAGATACAGGGGGAGATGTTGCCTCTTTAAAACACAACCATTCTAAACAATAGTCAATTACTGTTATTAACTTAAATGTTAACATTTTCTATAGTAACTGCATATTTCATGTGTTGTATCAACTTGCCACAATAGATAATCAATACAAAAAGAATTATACTAACCAATAGCATGTTATCAATTGACCAAGTTGAAAACAAGTCAATAAAACTTGTTTGGGAATGGACTTTTATAAAAACTTGACAGAGAATTTAGAAGATGGTAAGAGTCCACTGTAGAAGAGGGCTGGGCAGAAGCACAGAAAAAATGTGAGAAATATTAGGGTTGAAATAATTTACAAGGCAAAAATTTACAAGTACAAAATATGTCAGACCCTGGGAAATCTGAATAAAATCTGAACTTGTTCTAAAAAACCCACAAGTTTAATTTTAATTCTTCACTAGTAGAGAAATAAACATCTTGAAGTTTTGCTCTACTCCTGTACCATGAACAAATATTTATATTCCATTTTTAAAAATCATTTACCAAATATTTTATTTGCCAGACACAGACTTATGTACTATGTCTACATGAAATGCATCCCTGTGGCCAGTCAGCACCTGGTCAACAATGTCTATTACAATGTTTGTACAGTGCATTTTAGTTCGTATAATTCAATTAGTTTTTTAATTAATTCAAATAGTTATTCACTCAAATAATGTGTTTTCCCCTATTGCATTAAAATACAGGTCATCAGGCATCAGCTACATCCTACTGCAATTAAGGCTGCATTTGGGCCTCTCCTTTCCCTTTCATACCTTAGAAATCCAACATAATTCTTGTACTCAGAACTCAACAACCTGCACAAATCCCCATGACCTCCGTCCATGCATTCTACACAATCTTGAGCAAGAAGTTAAGGAAACATACTGAATAGCCATCCCAGCAGCACCTAGAGATACTCACCCTGATGCTCATAAGTGTTTATATCTCATTTTAATGGACTAGGATAAATAATAAATGGCATTTCCTTCAGTGTTCCAAACCTTCCTACGCAGAACTTCTCAGCATGCTGCCTGTTTTACTAGGTAACCAAAGAATAGCTTCTGTTTGCCTGTAAAACCCACTTGTTAAACTAAAATGAGATACTAAAATGGAGGAAGAACACATTCATAAAGGACCAGAACTCATAGCAGGGACATTTACCCCTGCACCAGAGAGATGAAGACCCCAAAATAAGAACTGAAAACTAGCATCTGACTGATAGAATCACACAGGTGGGATTTTTCACCATATTCCATTTTAATATTACCAGTTGATTAGCTCTCTAACCACTCAGATGCCCTGGCCAACACGGTTTTACATGTGATTCAAGTTCCATCTTTGGTGTCTGTGCACTAAGCAATTTTCAGGGACCTGGTGGTCAAATTTTTACTTTCTGTTAACCCGTCATAGGCCAATTCGGCCCATGGGACACCAGTCAAACAACCCTGGGCTAATTTCTCGTGCTTCACAGGCAGGTTTTGCAGTCTATGCTGATGTTCCTGAGCAACCTATTTTAAAAGCACCTCAGGTATGACTGCAGTGCACACATATTCTCAACCCAGACTAACAGAAAAAGTTAATCTGTTAGTGCCTCTCATTGCCTTTTTCTGTACCATTACATCACAGACATGCTTTGGTTAAAATACTCCTTTTTATGCTGTCAGCATTACAATGCAGTTCTCATGAAAATGCTTCAGCAAGACTCAGGGATGAATGCATTCTGTTCAAATTCGCTAAAACAGATGTACTACACAAAGACAAATGAGCTGATTACAGGGTACCCTGTCCAGTTCTGACAATAGACTGTGATAAATTATGCTGGGCCATACCACAACAGGGCATTATAAAACCTCACACATACACTGGGGATGACTTATGTAAGTTAGTTACAAACTAGTATGACGAAGGCAAACAATGAAGACAATTTCCTTGTGTGGAAAGAAATGAGCTCGCTATGGTATTTTCTTCATTTAATTTTAATGATAACAATTAAAAGAAAAATATAGGAGGATTTTAGCAAGGCTATTCTGTACTTGGTTCGGTGTGTTTGAAACAAAATCCCCACCAAGCTACATCACAACAGAGAAAAGCAGCATGAAGGGCCAGGCAGGTGAACAAAACTTCTCGATCCAGCCTAACATGTAAAGAGTTGGGAGAGACATCTGAAATTTTAACTAACACAGTCAACCTAGAGCTCAGCAAAAGGAGGTATCCTGTGCTATCTCTGTGTGTGTGCAGTATTGTGTACAGTGTGTGCGCATTAATACATATTCAGTCCTGGGTCTTAAACATTCCACTTGCCCTGAAGATGACCTCTTGCCCCACAATGAATTTAATTGGATAACATTGTGTTCCTGTAAAAAGACAACCCTATCCTGTAGAATAGGTGGAATTTTAAGGCCTCAAGGGTGAAACCTACATTCCACTGGCTTCAATAGGGAAGGAAATCACCCTAGGACAATATGTGTATACGAAGATACACACACACAAATCCATTCTGTACATATCCGTAAGTGCACATACATTTTTAAATTCTTTGGTGGCAAGATAAAAATGGGGTTGTACGACTGTGTATGTTTGACCAAAAAAACTGTCTAAGGAAGATCATAGTAAGTGTAACAGAAGGTATTTTGCCTCTTTAAGGACTATTCCTTGTATTGACAAAATGCCATATTTTATGATTACTAAAACAGGCCACAAGGAAAGCCAACGTAAACATAGCTCACACAATACAAGATCACTCAAAGACAGTCCCTATTAACCATGTCAATGCATCATGAGAAAACAAACTATAATCTTTCACCTACACATACTCAAACACTTTTTTGGAACCATCAAGTTTTAGTGCTGAGTTATAACACACCCTTTAGCCCTTTTTGTGGTTTCTTTCTTACTTTTTTGATTGTTTCTGGGGGTTTTGTTGCTTTTTTCTTCTTTTTTTCATCTTATCAAAATTAAACTAATAGAGGACGGAGGATGTCAGGAGTAGTAGATGAGGCTGGCAAGACAATGCCACACTGAACGGTTGTCAGCCCGCATGTTACCAATGGTGGTTCTGCTTGTAGTCATCTCCAGCATCTTCATACCTGCATCTCAGAGGTGCTGATCAGGCCCAGTGCTTTGGCTTCTTCTGGTGTCAGTCCACTCTTTAGTGTTCTTCTTACTGTACAGTCACAAAGTCCAAAGGCAAGGGGGAAAAAAAGACCAGCAACAATTAGGAGTAATATATAGGACTGTTAGCTGAAAGATACATTCTGATGAGAAAGTGGAAATCAAACACAAAGCAGCTATACTAGAGGCCCCAGCTTCAGAACAGCTGACTACTTCAATCTAGTGATTAGTGGGAATTTTGCATACCCAGCATCTTTGAATAATCAGGCCAATAATGTCTCTCTCTATATCCATAGCTTCAACACTTACAAATTTCCAGGTAATCATCATTGAAGGATAAATCCTACATATTTAAGAAAATTAAATCTCAGTAAAGCCATAATGATTGGTGTATACTCTATAAAAATGATTATCTTTCCCAATTACTTTAGTTAGGTTTTTAGAGACCTTCTTCAAGACCCTTTATAGCTTCTACAGAACCCTACTGGTTTCAGCCTTGTTAAATTCTATGTGGCTTTTCCACATAATGTTTACATTGCCATTTTTCAAATACTTTAATAAATTTATAAGAGAAGGGAAAAAGAACCTAATTGAACCACAGCATCACACAAAAAACAGAATCCTTGTAAAAATGCTCTAAGGCCAGACCTCCTTTTCCCAAGGTTTTGTCATGTGTCCTCTTACTGCCTGATATCCACATCATCTACTATAATTAGGCTTTTGCTTATAAGTCTATTTACATTGTAAGCACTATAGGACTAAGACCTTGGGTATTAGTTTTTTATGAAGTGCCTTGAACACAGTTGCTGCCATAATATCAGCAACAATAAAAGTAGTTGTAGTTATACGCACAAAACTTTCACTTTAAACTTATTTTTGCTTCACACATGCAGAGAAGAGTCTTTTAAATTATTTTTTCCATTCAATAGTGCTACTTTCCTAGTATTTTTGTCAGTATGGTATGCGGTTGAAGGCACTTGAATTCAGGGCAGAAACTGGGCAGTTCATGGTGTCTCTGCTTATTCCATGAATTTGATGTCCATTAGTTTGACTTGGCAAAAATGCAGAATGGGCACTTACAAATTTATTGCAAATCTAACATCTAAACAACGACTTTATGTTGAGCAAAATTATTCACAGCTCCACAGCAAAAAAGGGGGGCAGAAGAAGACATGCAGCCTCTAAAGAAACCAATTATGGAAAGTGGTTAAGAACTTCTTGGCTTCAAGCATTGTTATTATGCAGCATAATTAAGAGCTCTGATTTATTGGAGATTTCCTCCAAGTAACTGAAACTGGGTGGTCACAGACTACGGTCTAGCAGGAGTGAAAGTACCAAATGGATTGTTATGGAAAACAATGAAATGAGGGATAAGAAAATAATGTCAAGGAACACAGATTGTGTCACGCATATGGGGAAAGTGTGATCTACATTTACCAGCCACTTTTCTCTCCTCGGCGATCTGAAACAGTTAAGTGAATGGAGCCTGTCATATAGACACATGTCTATATAGACAAGCATCTATCTGGTATCATTTGATATCTGAGTAAAAGCCACTGGGAGGATGTGATGTGTGGCATAATACACAACTTTCCACCAGGTAAATGTTTGAAAGACAATTCCCCACTGTCTAGGGACCTTAAAACCTCCATACCTAGCTTTAGGGTCTTTTTGGATTTTTTCAATACCACTAGGTACCCACATATTCATGGAGACAAAACTATTCACATCCATCTATTGAACTACAGGAATGTTGCATTCCAGCTTAGCAGAAAAAGACTGGTCACTGTGAATGCCATATTTTTTACTTCTAGGCTTGATTACCCAAGCTGAAAAGCTGTATACAGATACAAAATTCTACCTGCTTGGTAGCTTAAGTTACTGTCAACAGATCATATACAGCTTTGGTCTCTCCACTGGCAACCCTACAGTTTCCAGTTTAAAAAGTCTTTGCCCCTGCATTGAGGGTCCATAATGGACTGGAGTATCTGCCTAAGAGATCATCTTTTCTCTGTGACCACAAACTCCAAAAACAGCTGTATGCTCCTCAAGCAAAGAAACTGTTAATCATCACAGAAGGCGCATGATCACAGAAGTCAGAACTTTCACAGGAATTGTGTCTAGACTGTGGAACTCCCATCAGAGGTAAGAGCCACAGAGCATACCACTCTCAGGACAGAATGCAAGCATTCTTTCAATATAGCGTTTCTTCAGAAGTGTCACCGTAGATTCAGGGGTGGGCAAAATATGGCCTGTGGGACAGATCCGGCCCACCAGGCCATTTTATCCAGCCCACAAAGCCCCTAAAAAATTTAGAAAATTAATATTTATCTGCCCCTGGATGCCTGTCAAAGATGACAGGAGCCAGGGCAGTAGGATCCAGGGGAAGCCATGGCAGAACCCTGCAATAGGTCCTGCTTGGCCTTGCCCTCTCCAGCCAGAAGCCCCTACCTAGCAGAGGCTTCTCGCCTGGGACCAGGAGCTGTTTGTGCCTCCCTGCATGGGAGTGAGAAATTCAGGTAAGAAGAAGTGGGGGCAGAGAGGAACAGGGAGGCAGGGAGGGCAGTGGGGGATTGCCCAGTCCTTGGGGCCAGGCCAGCTCCTGCTGAGTCCTGCCATCATGGCCATGTAGCCAGGGGCCACATGGTGTAGAGCAGCTGGCAGGCAAGCAGGAAAATGGGGAAAGTGGTAGCAGGGGATGGGGAGAGTGGAAGCAAACAGGCGTGCGAGGCCTGCACCAGTGCTATGGGGCCATCACTGACAGGGCCCAGAGCAGGACAGCAGGAGTGCGGGGCATGGGCTGGCAGGAATCTATGGAGCCAGGCTGGGCTGTGCCAGCAGGGAAAGAGGGGGAGCTGGCCTGACTCCATAGAACCCCTGCCAGCCAGAAACCTGTGTTCCTGCCGCCCTACTGCGGACCCTGCTGGCACTGGTCCCACGGCACTGGTGTGGGCCCTGAACTCCCATCTGGCTGTTGCTGCGCTTCTATGTGCCCACTCACTCCCACTCCCCCCCACCCTAGCCCTGCAGTACAGGCGGAGACCAGTGTGCGCAGTCCCGACCCCATGTGACCCGTGCCTGCCCATCTGGGCTGAGCAATGGTGGTGTGGGACAAACTGCTGTTCAGCGTGGGGGAAAAGTGGCCCCTCCCCCTCTCTGTGGCTAGAGCTTCTTGCTGCAGCCTCTTGGAACCCACACACAGCTGTCCTGCGTCTCCACTGTGTCACCATCATCAGCAGTGGGAGGGGGAGAGGCCGCTTTTCCCCCGTCCTGAGCAGCAGTTTGTCTCCGCTGCTACCGCTGCATGCAGCTAGGCGGTGCAGAGTGGGTGCAGGGTGCGCTGGAGCTGCGCACTGTTGGCAGTGGTGAGGTGGCACCACAGGGTGCTTGGGCTCTGGGCTGTTGCAGGGTGGGGGTGGGTGCTGACTGGCTCAGAGGGGTGCATGCAGGGGGCTCCCATGCATACCTGGCATACCCTCAAACCCTTCTCACAAACTCCACAGCCACACCCTTCCCCACACACAATCACACACCCCACAAATACTGTACCCAAACATGCATACACATATACACATCCTCACAAAACCCACACCCACCTACCCATACCCCCGGCACCCTGCACACCCCACACACTATACAAGAGTAAGTCTGCATTTTGAGTTATTATGCCAGCACTTCTACATATACAACACAAAAACACACAAATCAGGACAAAAATATTTAAAAAACTTAAATTAAAATATATTATTATGGGTATTTGATTTTTAGTATATAATTTGGTTTTTCCCCCTGTTCTAAGATGGCAAACCCTCTTCCCCAAAGGAGTACTTCTAAGGGCAAATGGAAGGGACTTCTGGTGGCAAAGGTCAGAAGTTAGGGGCAGGGCTTCCAGTCCCAAGATGGCAACGAGGGGGGTCCTGCACCTGTCAAGGGGTGGGGCTACCCATGCGGCCCTCAACAGCTTGCCAAAACTCGGTAAGCAGCCCTCCGCCCAAAATAATTGCTACCCCTGCTATAGATAGATGTGTGACCACAGGCATACACAAGAAATATATCTATTTATATTTACAAACACATGTAAGAGAGACATTTTAAACTAAGCTATTTTTTACAAAAGAATAATTAGACAGAAGGGAGTTTAGGGTGGAGGAGATGGAATACATGAGGAAGAAAAACCACAACTCTTATTTATCATTGTAAATACTTAGCAGGCACTAATATGTTAATGACAGCTGTATTTCTTCATATAAAAATTGCTGAAAGAGAAAATTCTGCTCTACTTTATAGCAATATAAATCTGCATTAACTCCTCAGAAATCCATACATTTACTTTTTCTTTTATACATCTGATGAACTGAAAACAGAACCTGGCCTGGCAATCTAATAAAAATGTTCCTTTCTTTTACATTGAACACAAAACAGAAGCTACTCCTACTTCTATTTCATTCAGATGACTTCACTGTAAACACCAATGTAGAGAGCATGATGGGGATCCAGTCCTGGCTGAGGCTTGAGTGTTCCACCAACAACCACCACCATTCACTTAGCTTGAACAGGTGAAGAACTGAGTGAGCAAAAAGGCTTCCCTTGCACATTCTTATAGGACTTCTCTGTATGAATGTACAGAAAGATAACTCAGATTTAAGGCATCCCAATGGCTGGAACTTTCGGTTTACTTTCAGTTTCAGCAGCTAACCAGGAGGAAGCAACTCCAGATCAAGCAAGACTTTGGCAGACCCCATGCTCTCATCAAGAAGATGGTTAATGGTGGAAAAAGAAGAGATGTAAAAATCATGGGTGACTGGTGTTTCCTGAGTCTGGGGGGGGCACCTGCAGAAGCTGGTGGCGGCAGCAGGGACAGAGCTGGTGGGTACCCGTAGAAGCCATCGGCAGTGGTGGCAGTGGGGACAGCCCTGTCAGGAGGGGCATGTGCCCCCCCCACCAGTCACTTATGATAAAGGTATTCCTTCCCTTTCCCTTAGCTAATGGAAGATAAGCATCTGGGCCAAATTGACAGACATTCTATGCCTATTTCCAAGATAAAAGCTATCC